ACTCTCTTCAATGATTTTTTCCTTTCATATCGCTCATCTGATCCATTCGTAAATCCATTCCTGTGCACATGACGAATTACAATGAATTCACTGTATAAATCTTCTCCGGATTCTTTCTAACGGGTGAATTACCTGGTGTTTGGCTGTTCAGCAAGATCGATTCATTGATGTTATCACGCGGAAATGGACACCCTTACGAAGGAAATGTAGACGAAGTGAAATCGTTAATAAAGAGTAAAAAGCGTCGACGATATTTATTAACGACAATCGTTCATTTCGGCCTTACATCAGTTGACTTTCTCTGAATGAGTAGAAATTGTTGCATTTGATTCCATGTTGACAATATTTTTTCAATAGTCATTGATCAATAAGATTGTTTGTGAAACGATCATCTCGATGATTTATTCGGTAATGACGATGACGTTAATCAGTTGTCGAAAAGGTTAATGACGATTTACGATTAACTCGTGGTACTGAGGCATGACAAGAACTGCAAGGAGTTGAATTTCAGGTTCCAGTCAACAGATTTCTTGGATAATAATCGTTTCAAATTACTCTTCAAAATCTCACTTGATGATATCGAAATAAGTAAAGGTTCGTCGTTGGAGAATTGTGAATTTTCCTCTCAATTTCGATTCTTTTAGCGGTCGATCGGTTAAGGCCAGCAACAAGAAGGAAGATTTTGACTAAATTTATAAAGAAAGCACATTTCAGATTCACTTTCACTTCTACAGACCACTGAATTGAAACTTCAAATAGCACAAGAAGACGTGAATATTCTCAACAAAATGATCGAACTCTCAAAATTGCTCAAAAATGAGCATAATGTTGGTAATTATGCTACAGTTTAATTGATTCACTTTGAAGAACGCTCTTACTGCCACTAAATTTGATGCATTCCACCAATTTGAAACCTGATGACGACCAGAATAATAATAATAGACTAATATTGATTCAAATGAACAATCGTTCCAAATTGATGCACTGTGAATTTTCGAGTATTTTCATCGAACCAATGAATGTCTGATAATATGCATTAGGTCACTGAATTTTGACGTGACTACGAGATATTTAAAGATGACGATTGGTAAGATAAGAAGACATGTTTCAGTCATTAATAACAATGTTAGACAATATGCGTACAGAACGAATGCAAGAGCTACGCAAATTCCAAGAGCAGTTGACATCAGATCCTGAACTGACCACTGTTTACCTTCAAGTTACAACGATGTTCGTTTTAATCTCATTCAGTTCAATTGTGACGTTTTCGAAATGATTGATAAAGATATGAAGACACTCAGCCAGTGACTCTCTTTTATGTGAACGATTGCATGAACAATAAGTTTTTTCAATCGTCTTATCGAAAAGTGGCTGTCTATCAGATAGCACATTGATCTTGCGCTCGAATTGAATTACTTTACTTTGAGTTGGAAATAATGAAACTGATAGAGAAAACATTGATGTGTAATAAAATTGCAAATTTAGCAACGGTATCGAATCGGTAACAATTCATTTCTCGAACGCAGACAAACGTGCGTTATGGGAAAATGCTCTGATGGAGGCAAAGAATGCTTTGAGTTAGTGTTTATCATATGTATTCACACTTATTTTTTAATGATTTCTCCTAAATTCCACCAATATTTTACGAATGAATTTTGTTATCGCTATATTGTATAGTTTCAATTCTTGGTAACCGTAAAACGCCTAGTCTATCTGCGAAATCTCTTATTCGAATGTTGCTTTACCGTAGATCCTCTTTTGAGAAATTCAGTTTTAAGTGCTCATTAACTAATTTGTAATTAAATCCTGCGAACAAACCTATTCTTTCAAACTGAATTTACAGTGAATTCATTACAAAATGATCAAGCACCGAGCCATCTAAGATCAATTGTCACGCATCGAACAAGACCTGGTCTAACAGTATGCATTTTCTAAATTTATTAATTCGAAATTCGCTACTTCATTGTTGTAACGAAATAATAACATTCATAACGGAACACTATCGACTATGAAATATCAATTGTTTATCACTAATAATTGAAAATGAAATATTCAGCTGTAGGACTTCATTAAATAAAATTCAGCGCAAATAAATGGAGAATTATTCTGATGTTACGTTTGAGTTAGCGACATTTTTTGGTGTCTTCGAACAAGGAAGTTTATTGTTTGCATATTGTGAGCATTTACTGTTGAATGAAGTTGTGATTTTTGCAGTTTTCGGTAGCAACTGCAACACTTGGTAAGAGCATTGAAGGTGGTGCGCCGAATGTGTGGGTTTGTACGGCTGATAAGTTCTCAGGACAAATCGCCGTCGTGAATGTGAACGGCGAACCAACAATCGAGAGCAGCACCGGCATCGGGAATGCTTCAATTGTTGCCATTTGTGCCGTGCCTTCGCCCAGGTCTCTTCTTTTGTTCGACATTTCAGTTGTTTGATCGGTCATTCAGTAGCACACTTTCAACCGTATTTGTACAATAGTTTCAGCGCTGAAATTATGAGTGAACTAATGAAAGTCTTTGCATTCGTCTTCTTGCTCACCCTTGATTCATATGAACTTATCTGAGTATTGCGATGAATTTTTCATTTGGAGTCAATTTTGGTTAGTAGGCGATCAAAATTAAATTGAGTTTCAATTGACTTTCGTCATCAAACGAAGTTGCGAGTGCGATAATCATTTCGTCAAGCTCGTTGAGTCTTCTTCCTCTCAAAGTCTTAAAATTTAAAAACTCTCAGTTATTTTAGGAAGAAGAGGAAAATTTCCACAAAGCAAACGTC